GGAGATTCACCAACTAGCGGCAATGGGTTTTCTTCAAAACCAAATGCTGGCGGAGTGAGAGATGAGGGAGTGGGGGAGTTGGGGGGCAGGGACAGTCTGGGGGTAGTTCTGGACTTATCAGGTCAAAATCTTTCTCATCCTCCAGATAGGTCACCTCTGCTTCACCATTCAGCAGTCTAGCAGGCAAATGGCCTGTTTCGCCTTGGTACTCTCTATCTGAGCAGTCGCTATCACAGTCACTTTCAATTGCATCTTTTTCAACTGTAGGAATGACTGTTATGTAGCACACATCTTTTTGGGGTTCTTTTAAATCTAGAAGATCCAAAACATCTGATAGTTTTAAGCTGTGTAGAGAAAATCATAAGAAAAATAGAATAAACAGCTAAAACTTTTGACACCTAGCATAATGCTATGACTACGCGTTATGCTAGCGGCAACAAATGTTGCCGTGGTTCCATTTACTCTTTTTATGATCAAAAAATTTATGCAGGCATATAATTCTCATTATATATCAGTAGTAGACCCTTTAAATACTATATGTACAAAATATTTCATTTATATCTGTTAATTAAGGTATTTTACTTACTTCCTTTTGTACAAGTTTGAGGCAGACATTTCCCGCCAGCGGTGCAAGCAGGAAGTAAAGAGGCCTGATCATGTGACCATTCACACTAGTTACATGACATTGATAGAAAATTAGAGGAGACAACATATTCTTTTATTTAAAAACTTTAGCTGCCAAAACCAAAACAGCACTTTTATAGCTTCCAGAAGTAAAAAAAAAAGAGCGGCAACAATTGTTGCCGGTGGGATTAAACGGGAAGCATTTGCTTAACCAGTATTGCTTACCTGCAGTCAGAATTATCTTGCACATGTTGTCACTATGTAACTAAAAAGAAATAGAAGAAATCAAAACATTACTTTTTAGTTTGCAACATAACAATTTTCCCACAATGAGCTTTAAAAATGCATGTCAAGTTAAAAAAAAGTGCACGTTGGAGCAGGTATAAGAGTATACATAGGAACAGCTAATGACATCTGTGATAAAGGAATGAATCAGTGAATAAATTCAGAATAAAAGGTATACTTACAAAAACAAAAGCTAAGGAAGCATATACCGTCTTTCTGTGACTGATGGATAACTGACGGATAACTGGCTAATATATTGGGTAGATAGCTCTAGGGCGTGGTAATTTAATGTGGTTAAATAGGGTGGGGATGTGTTTTTGTTCAAAATGTTCAAAGCAATTAGACGCTGATAATCTACCTCATTATCACAGCCTTTTGGCTTTGAATTCAAATTTTATTCAAATTAATAGCATGATTCTGCCATGTTCAAATTAATTTAATTATTTAACTACATGTATGTCACTTAAATGGCAACACCTAAAATGTTCAGCATGTTGAATGTTTGTCATGTGTGGTTTAAAGGGGGAAATATATAAAAGGTTATATTTTAAGGTTGCTCTCTCTTGTTCAGTGTGTTTAGTTATTCCTATTCTGAGATAGCTCTTAGGGCGTGGTAATTTAATGTGGTTAAATAGGGTGGTGATGTGTTTTTGCTCAAAATGTTCAAAGCAATTAGACACTGATAATCTACCTCACTAACACACCCTTTTGGCTTTGAATTCAAATTTTATTCAATTCCATAGCATGATACTGCCATGTTGGAATTTAATTAACTATTTAACCACATGCACCTGTATATTCTGAACTCATTGTTGCCATCCAATTTGTGTTTACCTGACACTGTAACAGGCTGTAGATGGGGCTCAGCTTTAGGGGACAGAGGTGCGTGGAAATTAAGCAGATTGCTTTATGCATGTTAATTATTTGTTTATTTCTCTCACCTTCCATGTCGCTTAAATGGCAACACCTAAAATGTTCAGTATGTTGAATGTTTGTCACGTGTGGTTTAAAGGGGGAAATATATAAAAGGTTATATTTTAAGGTTGCTCTCTCTTGTTCAGTGTGTTTAGTTATTCCTATTCTGAGATAGCTCTTAGGGCGTGGTAATTTAATATGGCTAAATAGGGTGAGGATGTGTTTTTGTTCAAAATGTACACAGACAAATGTGCACAGTAATTCATCATCAAGGTGACTGTGATGCCAAGAGATGTTTGACAAACAGGTTTTTCTCTTGTGTCCTCAGCCAGACCGTTGCAGCTCACCCACGTCCTTAGAGAAAAACCACATGAATTTCACATGTGATCACATGTGACCTCATGTACGTTTGGTTTTTTCATGTGAAATTTAAAATTTGAAAACATGTAAAACCTTCTGGGATTACATTTGAAACCCATATAAATTCCCCTTTGAAAGCTGTATATCAAGCCAATTGAAACCCATACATCTACGCATTTGACACCTTTGGGATATGTGAGACCCATGCCAATAGTTTGCTTTTGTTTGTTTGCATGTTTGTTAGTACTCACATTACTGCACTTGTTGAAATAGCCATGGTGAAACTTTGAAAATCTGCAGTATTTGTGACATGTTACAACACGTTGTGACATGTTTTTCATGTGCTCCTCATGCTACCACATATTACAGCAGGTGGAGACATTTTCCACATGTGCTCAGCATGTTATGACCTGTGGTAACGTTTTAACATGTGCTCTACATGGTACCACATGCTGCAGTATTTGGTACTATGGGACATATGAGTAAATGTCAGAAACACGTGTCCACTTGTAGAAAACATGGGAGATGAATGTGGTTTCAGCAAAGACTCAACTACTAACTCAGTTCACATTGTTTAATCTTTAAAGGTATAAAGTGTAAGATCCTGCTACTTGCTCCACCTCCATAGGGGGCAGCATTTCACCTCTATGCCCCTGTCCAGTTAATCATGTTGTTGTTTTCCCCATGTTCCTTATAATTCATAATTTATATGTGAATGTATTGTTGATAGTTAAAATTGTTGATAGCACTGAAACAAATTATGAATACTTGTAATACGAACAGTATGTTTTTATTTACCTATAAAAATATGAAGACAAAGGGATACTGCATGACACATGGGTGGCAGGCTACAGCAGCATGAGGAAGGGATGATGATATCATCACAAAGGCAGAATCAGAAAATAAGGTTTATTGCCAGGTAGGTTTTTACTTACAAGATATTTGGCTTGGTGTTTGGTGCAGTATACAATAAACATGTTAACAGGAAATAACAATAGCAAGGTAAAGTACTGCAACAGTCAAAAAAATAAATATACATAGATACACATAGTGAAAAAATAAAACAATGAAAAAAATACGTAAAAAAAGTGTTAACAGAACTGCTGAGCAGGATGTGCAAAAGATCACAGTATACACAATATCTGTTCTTTGCAGGGATAATACTCTAAGGTGTTACTGTAATGTGGTTGTTGATGATTGATGAGGCCAGATGCATAAGAAAAGGCAGGTGCTGGTCCATCACTGGGGATGCCTGGACAGAAATTCTGGTCCTGATACAGACAAACATGTGATAGGACAATTAGTTTAGATCATACTTAAGTTCTTTATATTCAAACATGTTAGGTCTGTTGTGTGTGTATAATAAATAGTAAGGATAGATATGAATATGCTAAAATAAATACAGTATTAGGCAGTGGATCCTGAACCTGTTGGTTCTGTATCTGTCTCTTTGTCTTACTTCTAAAAGAAAAGTTACTGACGCATCTATCTGGACAAACAGACGCAGGAACAGGCTAAATTCTACTAATTCACTAAAACGTCTGTCAACATCGTCAATCATACATTTATACCCCTTGAACTGTTTGTTTGTCGGTGAGGTTTGTCATTTGCACTAATGATACTTTTTGCTACAGACCAACATTGGATGTTACTCACCAGTCTAAAAGAAAAGTTGCGAGCTCGGCATCAAGCCGCGTCTCTTTACTCGTCCGGAGCTGTCTCCAGCGGTGGAAAAACACACCATGATTTACTCGTGTTTTGCTTCTTTGCCGTTGAATGTGGTTTCTTGTTGGAGCGGTTCTTTGGGATGGAGATAAAGCTCGCTTTCTAGGCGCTTCAGCCATCTCTGCGTTTCTATGATGACCGTCGGCAGATTTTTTTTAAAATTTTTTGTCAGAGCTATAGCATAACTTCAAGCTCAGGAGGAAGCTCCTCTTCTCCGTGGGACTGAGGGCAGACTAGACGCTACACTGACTCACACAGCATCTAGTGTGTCTAGGTGGTATTACAACAGGGCCCGGGTCGGGGCTTGTTGGTTAGCATGCTCATTTAAGTAGATATCTCTGAAATACAATAGATGGAGGTCTTGGTCATGACATCATCACTGTGGCTCCTTCACATACTATTGCTAGAGTTAGTTCATTCTTGGAACATTTTAAACTAAAATTCTGGCCAGATCTTACACATTGCACCTTTAAGTACTGATCTTATCGTTGTATTTGCTTGTTTTTAATGTCTTTTTTCACTGCAGTGATTCTTTTAAAAGTGCGGCACTTTTATAAGTATTGATGTCAGTGGCTGGTGGAAAAGCCCATTGAAAGCTGTTGAGGTCTTTACTCTTCAGCTGCCTGAAAGCTAGTGAGTAATAGCTCAATCCGTGCTCCCTCAACGGTGATTGGTCATGCGTGAAATGGTCAGAGAGAGAGTGATGGCTTTTTTACACCCGACCTAATTCGTAACTTCATTTGAATGGCTTTTCTTTGAGTGCCAGTTTGGTGGCTTGTTTGCACAGTATATTGCTTCTTTTATGAAAGTTACTTTTAGGATGAAGATTTTGCACGATGGATAATACAATCGGTTAAAATACAGCAGATTGCTAAGGATTTTTCCCTCTAAATCTCTCACATGGTTTAATTTCAATAAATGTTGAAATGTTCCAATATCTCAACAACAATCCAAGAGTAGCTTGGCTGCAAAGTATGTTGTGTCTTTTATCAATGGACACTTAACCAGAGTTTGAAAAAAAACTAAACAAAATCTGGGAAACTAGTAGTAATTTATATCATACGTCATTTTATTGTAAGACAAATCCAGTCATGTGATGGCTAGATATAAACCAAGAAGCACACATCCAAACAAGAGGGTTAGATACACCAACAGTAACATATATATGAGAAAAATATAGTAAAGTCTTATCCGATTAAATGATGGCAGACGAAAACGAGCAACACACAGCAACAGGACAACAATAGTAAATACACACTACAAATTCTTCAAATTATACTGAATATTGAGTGAGATTTAATCATAATCTGTACCAACAGATACAGTATGGATGGGATCATGTCTCTTTAATGATGGAGAGTTTATGGTCATCCATCTGATAATGTTGATGGTTTCATCTGAAAATGTTAATGTTGACATGTGTAAATGGTATTTTAAAATTTAGACAGTGCCCCACCTTTATTGGTAAGAATCAATATTACCGCTTATATAAATTAAAATGACAAACGTGCAACTCTTTAGGGGTAGTCACAGCAGAGGCAAGTTGGGTTGAAGACGAGATTTGAGGCGCAGTATTGGATGTACGTTCTCCCGTGGGCACAGTTGTAAAAAGAGTTTCGGTCATTCGGGTTGGCGTGAAGCCCGTCTGCCCTTCCACTGCAGAAATTGTCAGGATCAACTGTGGAAGTTGTTGTGGTGGTTGTGGTTGTGGTTGTGGTATAGTGTGGATAATCTGAAAAAGAATGAAAGTCAAATGTTGTGTTAATTGCCACTTAGATTTCTAAACAGAGCAAACAATTGCACTATGATTAACTAAAATTAGTACAGACAATAAAAGGTGTTAACATTAAAACTGATGGTTTTAAATCGAATGAAAAACCACCACTTCACAACAGATTACAACAGACACTTATTGCATTTTTATCACCTGGAACAAGGAGATCATGCAGGTGGCTGATGAGGGGATATTTGCCCTGGTTACAGAAATGTCCACTAAAGTCATCCAGGTCCAGCGACAAGACAAAGGCTCCTCCAAAGTGATTTGTATTTAGGTAACTGACCTGAGAGGATGAGGACGAAAACAATTGAAATCATGTTGACAAATCTGTTTAACCACATTTAGGTGATACCAGCCATTTGAACAACCTTACCTTTGTTCCAATGCTGTGTTTGTTATCAAATCCAACCCACTGATTATTATTTATGACAGCATATGGAACTTTTTGATCAGAAATCAGCTGGACTTGAATCCCGTCAAGATGAGGGCAAATCTGAAAAGAAGGATCAAATGTCGAATTTGGATGTAATGACATTTGTCACAACAAATACAATAGAAGCTCTTAGTGTACATGGAGCTACTGATAAAAATGACTTATTTTCAGAGCTTGCAGTTTTACCTCATAGTAGGCCAGCAGTCCTTCCATTTGGGTGTAGGTGCCTTCTGTACCGGGACCACTGACTGGTGCTCCAACACCACCGCAATGAGAGGCAACGGTATAAACTCGCCCATACGATGCTATACCCAGGTTTAGCTTATGTGCAGGTGCTCCCTGGTCCCTCCAGTACTTCATAGCATAGTCCTAAAATATGGAGAAGAAATAACAATGAGGATGAAATCACATTTCTAACTAGAAAAGTGTTCAGGTATTTGAAATAGGAATCATGGTATTTACAGTATTAGAGTTGATTTTGTCTCCAGTATCTTGGGATCCCTGGAACAAGGGGCTGTGATGTCCTGTGACAGTTTCCGAGGGGCCACGAAAGTCAAATGTCAGCACATTAATGAAATCCAGGCTCCTGATAAAATACAGAGAAGATCATGTTGACCAAAGCACCTCAACAGCTAATCACAGGTATAGTGTTAAGAGTGACATTAAAATAGTTTACCCGGCAACCTGTGTGACCTCATAACTGGCATCGATGACCGCCTTCTCAGCAGAGACACTAGCGATGAGGATTAATCTGTCACGGTTAGTTTGGGTTCCTTCATTCACAAAGGCAGCTTTGAGCTCCTACACAAGAAGAAAACATGGTTCAGTCTCAATCAAGTTTAAATCTTAGAATTTATATATGTGTGTGTATATGTATATAAATGTGTGTGTGTGTGTGTGTGTGTGTGTGTGTGTGTGTGCGTGTGTGTGTGTGTGTGTGTATATATATATACAATATTTCTGAGAGTCCCAGAAGAAAGGATCTGACCTGGCACAACATTGTAAATTTCTGCTTGTTGTCTGATTGGCTTCCTGCTGCTGCGGGAAACTTCCAGTCCAGGCTGAGCCCATCAAAACCATATGTTCTCAGTAGTGTGATAGCAGACTGGATGAACATTGCTCTTCTTGATTGTGTTGACACCATCATACTGAATCTGGTAAAGATTAGTACAAAACAGTGTTCTCATCATCTATAGAAGTATAATAAATACAAATATCTGCGAAATTATATTTGCATTAGACACAAACATAGATTGGTTTAAAACACAAACAATTTTAATTGCATTTGACTTAACATCTGTTTTGGTGTGACTTTGTAACATAAGTAAAATAAAAGAAAAGAATTGAAGTTAAATCCTAATGTTAACAACCACTGAGTTTTTACATATAATTAAAAATTGCCAGTTAAATCCCATAATGTACTAAGAATAGTAACCACTTTTTTATGCACACAGTATTTGTGTGATTATTTTGCAGCAAACTAATGTTGGTTATATATTATTTGATGAAGGGTTGTGTATCAGTATCAGTCATAATTTTCATACAAATTGCACTGTATTGAAGTATTTGCATTGCACACTGATGATGTCATCATGAAATAAACTTAGTACTATAATCAAAATATGACTACACCTCCCCTTGTGCTACGTCCCTTACCTTTGTGTGTCACCAACTGCCAACAGGGTTTTGAGCAGGGGATTTCTGTGGGAGCATCAAAGTTTAGTAATGACTTTTAACAAAACACAAATTGAACATAATTTCCAAAATTTTGAGAGGTCAACAGGTCTGACCTGGCTTTGAGTTGATTAAAGGACTGATAGCGATTTAAGTCAGTTGTTCTCCTGGGGACCAATCTATTCACACTGCTTATGTCAGAAAAGGCGAAGATCAGATGGGTACACTGCTTCGGATCAATGTCTGAAATCCTGACCTTCCCGCCATTCGCTCTGTATTCAGCCAAGCTGTTATAGTAACACACCAGCCTGGATGAAGACTGGTGAGACCTGGCTGAGACATGGAAAATAATAAATAAAAAGATTAATTGATTTAATTAGTTTTATCAAATCCCTTGTTTCCCAACAGTTGGCACCCTAGGGACATTATTTATTTGTCCATCAGTCTATTGACTTGGATTAAATAATGCATGTTATAAACTTACCCAAGCTGGCGATGATCAAACAGAGACCTTCACAGTGACAAAGTTGGTAAGCATGAGGTTAAAAATAAAACTTAACAGGTCAATTCATTCATTTTACAAAAAAAAAGTAAAAGAAATGAATAAATAATAATATCGGATGTGAATAGAAATTTGGTTCACATGTTACACTGCAGCAACATAGATCTTCTACAATATTCTTGAAAACCGGGATATATAAAACCAGAACTATCTACATGGATAGATTTCACTAGAGGTAAGTGTGAAGAAATGTGAGGTAAACTGATCCTTTGAGGAAACATTATTTGATCGGTGTGCCATACCTGCAGTCAGAAGTAGTTTGCACATGTTGTCACTGTGTAACTAAAAGGAAATAGAAGAAATTAAACATTTATCTAATTTGCATCATTTTCCTACTAGTTCCCACTGTGAGCACTAAAAAGACATTTCAGATCAGAAAACTGCACATTTTAAATTCAAGTTTGATCAATCAGTTACTTATCCTGTGCAGCAACACTACTTCAGCAGCCTGATAATGGTCACAACATGCTCTTAGTAGGTAAACACACAACCATAATGACACTAGATACAAAAATCAGAGAGAAATTTGTACAGTGCCTGCGGCTTCAACCCTCTTACATGAGTCTAGTTTAGTGACAGAGTTAGTTAGAGGGTATGAGCAGGTATATTAATATACATAGCAACAGCTAAAAATCTGTGGAACTGATAAATGAATTAAAAAGTGAACAAAGTCAGAGTTAATTGTATACTTACAAAGACAAAGGCGAAAGAAGCATATACTCTCTTTCTCCTGTGACTGATGGATGACTGATGTATGGTCTGGCTTATATATTGGGTAGATAGCTCTTAGGGCGTGGCACTTTAACAGGGTTAAATGGGGTGGAGATGTGCATCTTTTTCAAAATGTTTAAAGCAATTACACATTAATAAGCCATCTCATTATCAGGTGCTTTTGTCTTTTGTCAAAGCTACACTGGCAGTATAATTAGATGGCAATGTCAGTCTGTTGGTTGGTCTACCACTTTGGTCCAGACTGAAATATCTCAGCAACCTTTTGACAGTTTGCCTGATATGTGCTAAATATCTCTTTGTTAACATTAGTTTTTGGCTCTAAGCACTGCAATGTTTAGGTACAGAGCTGTAATTATTGCTGCTGTGGACTTTTATTGGACTTTATTGCACCATAGTGAGTCGGGTTTAAAAGCATGTGGAGAGAAACCTAAACTAGACAATTGACAAGGACTCTAAAATTTACAGTGTGAAATGATCTAACAACACAGCTGCAGCAACAGTAACCTTACCTAAAAAATTTCCATCATCTTTTGCATGCATTTCACGGCATTGAGATGTCAGACGAGAAATGCACCAAACTTCTTGGCTATTGGTACACTGATTATATTATTTTGACTGGGAAAGTTTCTCAAGTGAAAAGTTTTTGCTAGATGACTGATTAATGTCACTGTGATTGTCACTATTGACCACTGATTTTCAGTGTATTTATTTTTTCATATTTAGTTACTTTTGTCACACTTTTTTCATTTACGTATGTATTATTATAGTAATTGTATAGACCACTGTTCACTTCCATTGTAGTCTAATTTCAGTTGTTGCTTGATTTGCATTTGCATTTTTTCATTCATGTTATGACTTTTGTATTTTTGGTTTGGCTTTAGCATTCATGTTGTGGCTTTGGCATTTGTGTTGTGGCTTTTGCATTTGTGTTGTTGTGTTTACATTTGTGTTGTTGCTTTTGTATTCTTGTTGTGGCTTGTTTATTTTTGTTGTGGCTTTTGCATTTGTGTTGTGCTTTTTTCATTTGTGCTGTTGGTTTTTACATTTGTGTTGTTGCTTTTGCATTTGTGTTGTGCTTTTTTCATTTGTGCTGTTGGTTTTACATTTGTGTTGTTGCTTTTGTATTTGTGTTGTGGCTTTCGCATGTTTCTTCTGGTTTTTGCATTGTGTTGACTCGGCTGGGCCACCATAAATAGCATATGAAATAAGATTCGATGCCATGTTGGATGTTTTGTTTTTGGGTAGTTTGGTCACTTTCAATCAATTCTGATCACACCACATACACAGCTCTTAATCAACAAATCAGCTGATGTTTTTTTGAGTGATAGTCATGAATATATATTGTTAAAGAGAAACATTGAAGTTTTCAAACCAAGTTTTCAGGGGCTTTAGGTGGTATTGTAATGAGTGGCTTATTCAAGAGACATACTGTTTTTTGATAAGGCTGTAAATGAGTAGCTGTGATATGGATATATAACAGAATTAATTACAGGTGCTTCAAAAAGACCTCTCTAGAACATAATGACTCCACTCTCCCTCCCTCAGAAATCTTCCTCATGCTTCAGTGAAAAGACAGTGAAAAGAATGAGAAAGAATGTTGAGCCTTTGAACTATGAAGTTCACTAAACTTCATTATTGCTGTTTAAGTGCTGCCATTTAATTCTGTATACACCTGAACACGTGTTGGGAATCAGTAAGACATTAATCATATAACATTAATGGTTTGGGAGTGTCAGCATCATTATTGTTAAATCACAAGTTTAATATAAGATAAGATAAGATAAGATAAGATGGGATAGTCCTTTAATGGTTCCACAGTCAAAAAATTTGCCTGTCATACCTCAAATCACCTGTCATGTGGTTGACCACACCTAGGAACTTTTATGACCCCACACTTCTGGTCTGCAAAGCCCTCCAAACCACTGTGAGAACAAAGACAACCACTCTGAGTTAAAGAATGGATTTTCAAATCTTATGTCATTTTATTAGGTTAACATTATACCCAGTGTGTGAGCCAGTGTCACCACCTTCATTGTAGTTTTTTTACAACTATATCAGTACAAGGTTTTCTTTAAGCCCCTGAAAACTTATAGTTAAAAAGCATTTATACGTATATAGAACGATATACGACTATACATGACAAAATAACCAAACGTTTCCTATCTTTTGTAAAAAATTGTGCGCTCATGTTGGGGGGATGTTCAAGTGCTTGAGGAAGATTGTGAGTAGCAAAAACAGCATTAAAAATCAAACCCAAAATCAAACCATAACCTCTTAGGTTTGTTGAGTAGATATTGGTTCTGCTCGTTGCTTTCAGTGTGCATACAATGCAGGCTGGCATCATTTCATCATTTCTTGAAGTGTATTGATTTTTTGCTGAGTGGCAGATCCTTACACTAGCAATAGAAAACAACATTTACAGAAGAACCCACAGGACATTAATACATGGACAAACGTATCAAACAGCTGGAGTTCTGTTTAACTGTGTAAACAGTATACGCTAACCTCAGTTTTGCCATCCAATGTATCTTTACCTGACACTGTAACAGAGTGTAATTGGGGCTTAGCTTTAGGGGACAGTGGGGTGTGGTAATTAAGAACATTGTCTAATGCCTTTTAATTATTTGTTTTTCTTCCCTTCATATCTCTCTCACATTCCTTGCCAGCTTCTGATGTTCCCCCACCTAAAGTGTTCAGCACGTGTGTGGCTTACAGAGGAAAGTAGATCAAAAGTGCAGTAGGTGTGATACAAAGAAAAACATACCATCCCCACATGGCTTGTGTTAACAGTGGCTCATAAAGCAATGACATAGTAAGGTAGGTCAACTTAATTTGTATAGCCCCTTTTAACAACAAGGCATTTCATAGTGTTTTACATAAGACAACAAGGCATTAAGAAAAGTTATAAAAGTTGCACAACAAAAATTTGAAAAGATCAGGCCTGTAACCTGGGAATTATGTTTATATATGAATAATTTGCAACAGCAAATACTGTTTGAGGGAAATGTAATTAAGAACAAAATATGTTTTTATCAGCGTAATGAGGAAATGTTCATCTACACATATTGCAAATTGCAAATATGTCGATACAGAATGTATGGGTAAGATGTTCTCTGAAATAGTGAGCTGGATGAAGTAGAAAACAATATTTATTTCCGGGTAGTCTTGCTGATTTAGGTTTCAATTCTACAAGTTCAGTTCAGTTTCAGTATTGGCAGCATTTTCACATTATGGTATAGTATGCTACAAAACATCAAGACCCATCAGGTCATTTGGGACATATTACTCTGTGCTCCCAGAATCCAAACCAAGCAAAGCGAAGCAGGTTTTAGTTTCTATGTTCCCCACCTTTGGAACAAGTTTCCTGAATACCTGTGGTCTGCTGAAAGTGTCAGCTCAGTTAATCAGTGCTTAAAATCTCAAATATCACTATTTGCTGTAGTTTACCAATAAATTACATACATAACGTAATTTTAATCATGTGTTGTGTCGACCCAGCTGCAGCTATTTCAGTTCACACCTTTTTAATCTTCAGTTACTTATCCTCTTGCTTTTGCTTTTGCTTGTTTTCTTGTCTTTCATCACTTCTTTAAATGCTTTTTACGTGTATTAATGTCACTGGTTGGTTGATTAAAGAAAGCTGGTTTGTATATGTGCGTGTCCCAACCCCCACAGGATCACCAAAGAGGGTGGTTATTTCTGGGGCAAGTTCAGGTCGTGCCTGGTGCAGATTAAACCCACAGTGAAATCGCACCTATAGGGAAAATGTTGAGGGGTAGCTGAACGAGGCTGAGCCTTGCCTTGTCTTGCCTTGTGAAGAAACTCCAGAAAAACTGGTTAAATATTAACTGGCCCGTTGCACGGTGTCCCGTAAGAACTTAACCAGAGATGTCTGGCTTTACTATCCAGGAAGCTTTATTCAGGTACCAGATGCATGACAAGTGAAACATGAAGTTCTATCTGGTTCTGTGATATGAGCGGATAATTAAAATGTATATTAATAGGCATCAGTTTAATACACATGCTATAGCATATCTATGAACATATTACTCTATGCAGAATTAGGCATCAGTGTTTCCACTAACATTATTTACTGAAACCAACATAAAATGTCATATATGATCTAATTATAGCAAACACCAGTGCTCAATCATGAGCAGTGAGACAATGGAGAATTCGTTGTTGTAGAGATACGGTTTGACATCAATATGAAGTTTATTATTTCATTTTAATAGCCTATTGTGTGGCGGTGGTGATTTAGTTAGTCTTTTATCTTTCTGATAGTTTTACCTGGTTGAGTAATTGAACTATTTCAGAATCCATGTGTGCTGCAGGCTAAATAATTGTACTAGCAGTGGTGGAAAGTAATTAAGTACATTTACTTTACAAGTTCTGTACTTTAGTACAATTTTGAGGTACTTGTCCTTTATTTGATTATTTCTGTTGAATGCTACTTTGTACTTCCACTCCACTACATTTGAGGAAAATATTGCACTCTCTACTCCGCTACATTTATTTGACACCTTAAGTTTGGATACTATCTACTTTTAAGATGAAGATTTTACACAATGGATAATATAACAAGTGTTTAAAATACAACAAATTGATGAGGATTTTTTCGCTCTAAATGTCTTACATGGTTCAATTTCAATAAATGTTCAAATAATCAAATATCTCACCAAAAATCCAATATTAGTTTATTTGCACAATATATGATGTTTTTTACGGGCAATAAACAAAATGTAGGAAACTAGTAGTATTTTGTCATTCATCATTTTATTATACAATAAATCCAATCATGTGATGGCTAGATATAAACCAAGAAGCACACATCCAAACAACAGAGTAAGATACACCAACAAAGACATTTATATGAGCAAAAATTGAATGAAGGTTCATCAGATTAAATTATCGTGGAAAAAAGAACAATAACCTTCACTCACAACTGATTTAGATACACCTAAAATTAACAGACAGCAACAGGTAAACAATTGTAAATACACTCTACAAATTCTTCAAATTATACTGAATATTGAGTGAGATTAAATCATAATCTGTACTGACAGATACAGTATGGATGGGATCATATCTCTTTAACAATGGAGAGTTTATGGCCATCTGATAATGTTGATGGTTTCATCTGAAAATGTTAATGCTGACATGTGTAAATGGTATTTTAAAATTTACAAGTAGATGAGTGAGGCCTAATAAGAACAAGCAAAACCATTATTCAGTACTTTTCCTCACAAAACAACAATGAAGAATCCTAAGAAATGATACATGTAATACCTTTAGCCAGTGCCCCACCTTTATTTGTAAGAATCAATATTACCGCTTATGTAAATTAAAATGACAAATGTGCAACTCTTTAGGGGTAGTCACAGCAGAGGCAAGTTGGGTTGAAGACGAGATTTGTGGCGCAGTATTGGATGTACGTTCTCCCGTGGGCACAGTTGTAAAAAGAGTTTCGGTCATTCGGGTTGGCGTGAAGCCCGTCTGCCCTTCCACTGCAGAAATTGTCAGGATCAACTGTGGAAGTTGTTGTGGTGGTTGTGGTTGTGGTTGTGGTTGTGGTATAGTGTGGATAATCTGAAAAAGAATGAAAGTCAAATGTTGTGTTAATTGCCACTTAGATTTCTAAACAGAGCAAACAATTGCACTATGATTAACTAAAATTAGTACAGACAATAAAAGGTGTTAACATTAAAACTGATGGTTTTAAATCGAATGAAAAACCACCACTTCACAACAGATTACAACAGACACTTATTGCATTTTTATCACCTGGAACAAGGAGATCATGCAGGTGGCTGATGAGGGGATATTTGCCCTGGTTACAGAAATGTCCACTAAAGTCATCCAGGTCCAGCGACAAGACAAAGGCTCCTCCAAAGTGATTTGTATTTAGGTAACTGACCTGAGAGGATGAGGACGAAAACAATTGAAATCATGTTGACAAATCTGTTTAACCACATTTAGGTGATACCAGCCATTTGAACAACCTTACCTTTGTTCCAATGCTGTGTTTGTTATCAAATCCAACCCACTGATTATTATTTATGACAGCATATGGAACTTTTTGATCAGAAATCAGCTGGACTTGAATCCCGTCAAGATGAGGGCAAATCTGAAAAGAAGGATCAAATGTCGAATTTGGATGTAATGACATTTGTCACAACAAATACAATAGAAGCTCTTAGTGTACATGGGGCTACTGATAAAAATGACTTATTTTCAGAGCTTGCAGTTTTACCTCATAGTAGGCCAGCAGTCCTTCCATTTGGGTGTAGGTGCCTTCTGTACCGGGACCACTGACTGGTGCTCCAACACCACCGCAATGAGAGGCAACGGTATAAACTCGCCCATACGATGCTATACCCAGGTTTAGCTTATGTGCAGGTGCTCCCTGGTCCCTCCAGTACTTCATAGCATAGTCCTAAAATATGGAGAAGAAATAACAATGAGGATGAAATCACATTTCTAACTAGAAAAGTGTTCAGGTATTTGAAATAGGAATCATGGTATTTACAGTATTAGAGTTGATTTTGTCTCCAGTATCTTGGGATCCCTGGAACAAGGGGCTGTGATGTCCTGTGACAGTTTCCGAGGGGCCACGAAAGTCAAATGTCAGCACATTAATGAAATCCAGGCTCCTGATAAAATACAGAGAAGATCATGTTGACCAAAGCACCTCAACAGCTAATCACAGGTATAGTGTTAAGAGTGACATTAAAATAGTTTACCCGGCAACCTGTGTGACCTCATAACTGGCATCGATGACCGCCTTCTCAGCAGAGACACTAGCGATGAGGATTAATCTGTCACGGTTAGTTTGGGTTCCTTCATTCACAAAGGCAGCTTTGAGCTCCTACACAAGAAGAAAACATGGTTCAGTCTCAATCAAGTTTAAATCTTAGAATTTATATATGTGTGTGTATATGTATCTAAATGTGTGTGTGTGTGTGTTTGTGTGTGTGTGTGTGTGTGTGTGTGTGTGTGTGTGTGTATATATATATATATATATATGTATACAATATTTCTGAGAGTCCCAGAAGAAAGGATCTGACCTGGCACAACATTGTAAATTTCTGCTTGTTGTCTGATTGGCTTCCTGCTGCTGCGGGAAACTTCCAGTCCAGGCTGAGCCCATCAAAACCATATGTTCTCAGTAGTGTGATAGCAGACTGGATGAACATTGCTCTTCTTGATTGTGTTGACACCATCATACTGAATCTGGTAAAGATTAGTACAAAACAGTGTTCTCATCATCTATAGAAGTATAATAAATACAAATATCTGCGAAATTATATTTGCATTAGACACAAACATAGATTGGTTTAAAACACAAACAATTTTAATTGCATTTGACTTAACATCTGTTTTGGTGTGACTTTGTAACATAAGTAAAATAAAAGAAAAGAATTGAAGTTAAATCCTAATGTTAACAACCACTGAGTTTTTACATATAATTAAAAATTGCCAGTTAAATCCCATAATGTACTAAGAATAGTAACCACTTTTTTATGCACACAGTATTTGTGTGATTATTTTGCAGCAAACTAATGTTGGTTATATATTATTTGATGAAGGGTTGTGTATCAGTATCAGTCATAATTTTCATACAAATTGCACTGTATTGAAGTATTTGCATTGCACACTGATGATGTCATCATGAAATAAACTTAGTACTATAATCAAAATATGACTACACCTCCCCTTGTGCTACGTCCCTTACCTTTGTGTGTCACCAACTGCCAACAGGGTTTTGAGCAGGGGATTTCTGTGGGAGCATCAAAGTTTAGTAATGACTTTTAACAAAACACAAATTGAACATAATTTCCAAAATTTTGAGAGGTCAACAGGTCTGACCTGGCTTTGAGTTGATTAAAGGACTGATAGCGATTTAAGTCAGTTGTTCTCCTGGGGACCAATCTATTCACACTGCTTATGTCAGAAAAGGCGAAGATCAGATGGGTACACTGCTTCGGATCAATGTCTGAAATCCTGACCTTCCCGCCATTCGCTCTGTATTCAGCCAAGCTGTTATAGTAACACACCAGCCTGGATGAAGACTGGTGAGACCTGGCTGAGACATGGAAAATAATAAATAAAAAGATTAATTGATTTAATTAGTTTTATCAAATCCCTTGTTTCCCAACAGTTGGCACCCTAGGGACATTATTTATTTGTCCATCAGTCTATTGACTTGGATTAAATAATGCATGTTATAAACTTACCCAAGCTGGCGATGATCAAACAGAGACCTTCACAGTGACAAAGTTGGTAAGCATGAGGTTAAAAATAAAACTTAACAGGTCAATTCATTCATTTTACAAAAAAAAAGTAAAAGAAATGAATAAATAATAATATCGGATGTGAATAGAAATTTGGTTCACATGTTACACTGCAGCAACATAGATCTTCTACAATATTCTTGAAAACCGGGATATATAAAACCAGAACTATCTACATGGATAGATTTCACTAGAGGTAAGTGTGAAGAAATGTGAGGTAAACTGATCCTTTGAGGAAACATTATTTGATCGGTGTGCCATACCTGCAGTCAGAAGTAGTTTGCACATGTTGTCACTGTGTAACTAAAAGGAAATAGAAGAAATTAAACATTTATCTAATTTGCATCATTTTCCTACTAGTTCCCACTGTGAGCACTAAAAAGACATTTCAGATCAGAAAACTGCACATTTTAAATTCAAGTTTGATCAATCAGTTACTTATCCTGTGCAGCAACACTACTTCAGCAGCCTGATAATGGTCACAACATGCTCTTAGTAGGTAAACACACAACCATAATGACACTAGATACAAAAATCAGAGAGAAATTTGTACAGTGCCTGCGGCTTCAACCCTCTTACATGAGTCTAGTTTAGTGACAGAGTTAGTTAGAGGGTATGAGCAGGTATATTAATATACATAGCAACAGCTAAAAATCTGTGGAACTGATAAATGAATTAAAAAGTGAACAAAGTCAGAGTTAATTGTATACTTACAAAGACAAAGGCGAAAGAAGCATATACTCTCTTTCTCCTGTGACTGATGGATGACTGATGTATGGTCTGGCTTATATATTGGGTAGATAGCTCTTAGGGCGTGGCACTTTAACAGGGTTAAATGGGGTGGAGATGTGCATCTTTTTCAAAATGTTTAAAGCAATTACACATTAATAAGCCATCTCATTATCAGGTGCTTTTGTCTTTTGTCAAAGCTACACTGGCAGTATAATTAGATGGCAATGTCAGTCTGCTGGTTGGTCTGCCACTTTGGTCCAGACTGAAATATCTCAGCAACCTTTTGACGGTTTGCCTGACATGTGTTAAATATCTCCTTGTTAACATTAGTTTTTGGCTCTAAGCAATGCAATGCT